GACGAAAGCTATGAATCCCGAGCAGAAGTCTTCGACCCGTTCAAAATACCGTACAATGAAGAATCGCTTCATGTAGCTATACAGAAAGGCCTCAAATGAACGAGAAAGCCCAGTCGAAGCATCGTGGAATCCAATAATGGAGCCTTCTAAAAATTCCAAGCCCCTAAACCCTAAAGCCCCTAAACCCTAAAGCCCTACAGCCCTAAAGCCCTAAAGCCTAAAGCCCTAAAGCCCTAAAGCCCTAAAGCCCTAAAGCCCGAAAGCCCTAAAGCCCTAAAGCCCGAAAGCCCTAAAGCCCTAAAGCCCTAAAGCCTAAAGCCCTAAAGCCTTGAAAACACAGGTGGGGAGCCCAGCCGTGGAAGCCTACACGGGGCCCTCACGTCCCTCGCCGAATCCATCGCCGGAGCCGCGGGGTTTCGGTCGGGTTGGGAGGGTACGGAGCTGTTGCTTTGGGGTGTGGGAAAGTTTTCGTAGCAGCTGAGTGGATACACTTTACACGTTTTGGGATTACATTACCCACTATAACCCTAAAAGTGTACACTTGTTGGCGACTCGGAACTCAGCAACTACGTTTTTTCACGGTTCTTGAGGGAGGGGCTGATTTCGAGAGCTTCGCTTCCGGTAGCAAGTCCAGTACTGGAGGTTCATGGGTAGTTATAAGTAGGGTTATACGGTTACAAGTAGGGCAACTATACTTGTAACCCAAATTAGGGGACTTACAACCCTACTTATAATTACCTAAACTAACCCCCTAAACCCTACACCCTATATAGAACCTTTACAGGAGCCTTAAATCCTTATGAACCCCACTTATAACTACCCCTGAACCTCCAAGTAGGGTCTGCAAGCTACTCTCGGACATCTGAGCCTCGGGAGCCTGAGGCCTAAGTCGAATCTTCGCGACAGAAGCTTTTCTGAGCAGGGTTTTAGGGTTTTAGGGTTTAGGGTTCAGGGTTTAGGGTTCAGGGTTTAGGGTTTGGGGTTTAGGGTTTAAGTTCAGGGTTTAGGGTTCAGGGTTTAGGGTTTAGAGTTTAGAGTCCCTCCGTGTCTGTCTTTCCAGCCCCCCTACCAAAACCAAGAGGACAGGCGGGTGGAGGCTCAAGGCTGAGGGTTCCAAGGTTTGGTTTGAGGGCCTATAAGGGATCTATGAGACTGGGCTTCGGAGTACCATACTTTAATACTTTTTGTCATAAAGGAACCAGTATGAAATAGAAGTTTATACTTTTTTACCCTGGTTACTTAAAAGCCCAGAAGAGGGTCTATGATATAGGGCCTTAATAATCAGAATAGAGTTTGGGGGCCCAGTATACTATAATTGGCCCAAACTTTTTTTTGGGCTCTGATCCCCATTCCGAAAGGACTCTGCCGGCAGCGACTACATCTTTGCTTCTGAGTTGCAGAAGATGCTTGAGGGGTGTCACAAGGTTGCTTCCTTTAGGTTTGGAAGTTTGAATTCAGGGCTTGTGAAGTTCGGAGCTAAAAAGAGACTCGAGGCTTCAGAGCTTTCTACGGCAGCGCAGGGTTTCGGTTTGAGACCCTTCGGCATGAGCTTCTCTTCCTGATCAGGGTCATTGGAATCCATTTACGGGAACCCTGAATCGAGAGTTCTCATCCCATCGCTGGCAAAGCCAGTGCAAACCATCAAGATCCCGTGCATCGGCGACTGTCTTCAAACCACAAAACACCGAAGGAAGCAATGTAACAAGCAAGGCCTTCGTGGCAATTGTAAAACATCTGTTAGAACGTCTGCAGGCTCACTGAAGTGCAACAACTTGCAAGGGCTGTTCGCATCAATACCTCCACCTGGATATACAAGCTCCAGTATTTTGAAGCTCTATGCACCAGTTCTTTAGTTTCTCAACCCTTCAGACTAAACCCGTTTAAATCCTGAATCCAATCGGCAAGTCCCAGCCGGTAAGCCGCAATGTCAAGGACACCTTCAACACTGCCACATGCCCCCCTGGCCATTCCCAGGCTCGGGAAACAGAAGGGACTGAGCTGTGCAGACGATTTCTGTAGTTCAGGAAGCCAGGGCTAGGGCCACGGTTTTACGGAGACGATATTGGATTCAGGGTTAGTGTGTAGAGGTTGGGGTTTAGGGGTTTCGGGGTTTAAGGGTTTTGACTCGGGCTTTCGGTGTAAAGGGCAAAGCAGTGCATAAGGTGGGTGTTGCATAGTCCTTGGGGAGACCCCAGGCCCTATGGGAGTTTCCGAAAATAGGGCCCCTAAGATAGTACCCTAAATAGTAGGATCCTTATTATAAGGGCCTCAAAATAAGGTCCTCCTAACTTTCGGAAACTCCCCTATGTTCAGGATTCGAGTTGAGGAGGCGTCCGATCTTGGCCCAACGGTTCGCACCGGACATCGCCATTGGTCATGTGCAAATCCTGCGCCAGAAGCCCTTTAACCTGAAAGCGCCCCAAACCGCAGAACCAGAAAGCTTTAAACCAGGGACCCTGCATGACAGCCCGGATCTGCTACTGCTCCTCGGCGGAGGTTTGACGATATTCAGCTTTGATTTTTTGCTTTAGTTCAGGTGGGAGGGGGGTTAGGGTTCCGTTGCTTTCCTGAAACCTTCATGTAGGCTTCGGGTCCTAAGAAAGTTTCGTCAAGACCCATTCTCGATGTGACGGCATCTTAGGGTTTAGGGTTTAGGGGGGTTTCCTAAACCCTAAACCCTAAGTTAACATTCCTTGCGAAGAGCCCAGAACCTCGAGGCTGGCAAGAGGTGTCCGTTGTTGAAAGCCAGAAAGTGCGGGACTAATATAGGGGGCCTTACTCAATGACCTATACTATTTTCGGGTGTTACTTACTACAATTACAGTATAATGTGCCCCCAAACCCTATTCTAATTATTAAGGCCCCTATATCATACACCCCTCTTATAGATCCCTTACAGGCCCTCTAAAGGAACCCCGTTCTCATCATGAAGGCCCTATTAGCCCAAAAACATTAGGGTTTGGGGCCCGTTATACTACAATTATAAAAAAGAACCACCAAAATAGTATAGGTAATTATTTAGACCCCTACATTACATCCGATCCCAGACCCCGAAGCTTAGTCAGCTCACGGGGCCAGCTCTGACGCTAAGGCGCTGCGCATCCGGGTTCCACTCACAGCTGCATATCGGATACGGATTTTCAGGTGGCACACTCAGACCGGGCTCAGGGTTTAGGATTAGAAGCTGCCCCCACCCTGTAATAGTGGTATAATAGGACTATAATAGGGCCCTACTGTAATCCTTATAGTCATATTATAGTCACTATTACAGGGTGGGGGCACCTTCTAAGGTTTAGGGTTTAGGGACAGCAAAGTAGCATAGAAGATGGCCTTGGGAGGCCAGGGAGGGTAGCAAAGCCCAGCCCCGAGCCTTGTATGTTTACAGGTCAGGCTCTTCGGGTGTCCTGAAAGAGACAAGCAACAAATCAGGGGCGACCATGATGCGACCATGATGCAGCCCCCATGATCCCATATTAAAGTACTACTACTACTACTACTACTACTACTACTACTACTACTACTACTACTACTACTACTACTACTACTACTACCACTATGATGATTATTATAATTATTTTTACTACTACTACTACTACAACTGCTGCTGCTGCTGTTGCTAATGCTAGTGCTAGTGCGACTGCTACCGTTACTGCTACTGCTACTGCCACTGCTACCGCTACCGCTACTGCTACTGCTCTGCTCCTGCTACTGCTACTGCTAACGCTGTTGCTGCTACTACTACTACTACTCCTACTCCTACTACTACTCCTACTGCTACTGCTACTACTACTACTACTACTACTACTACTACTACTACTACTACTCCTGCTACTACTACTACTACTACTACTACTACTACTACTACTACTACTCCTGCTGCTACTACTACTACTACTACTACTACTACTACTACTACTACTACTGCTCGACTACTGCTGCTGCTGCTACTACTACTGCTCTACTACTGCTGCTGCTGCTACTACTACTACTGCTGCTACTGCTACTACTGCTACTGCTACTAGTACAACTAGTAAAACTAGTTGTTGCTGCTTGCCGGTATGCTTGCTGTTATCGGCTATCGATGATAGACGCCGGAACTCTAAACGAACACGGCACCCTTAGTGGGGACTCGTACCCTATAATGAGCTATATAATGGGTATATACCTAGGGGTCCTTATTAGGGGTCCCTCCTTTTGCCCTTTGACTAAACGAACACGCTAAACCCTAAACCCCAAACCCTAAACCCTAAACCCTATATAAACCCTAAACCCTAAACCCCAAACCCTAAACCCTACACCCTAAACCCCATATAAACCCTAAACTCTAAACCCCAAACCCCAAACCCTAAACCTTAAACCCTAAACCCTAAACCCTGCAACGCTTCGAGCCGGCGAGGTGGATGCGGGCGAGGCGCGGCACCGGCTCGAAGGGGTCTCTTCGGATTTTGGGAGCTGGTGTTCAAGGGGATATAGAAGGGCTACTATAAGGGCTACTATAAGGATATAATATAGTGGCCTAGATAATTAGCTATACTATTATGGGATTCCTTATTCTATTTATTATAGCACCCCAAGCTTTACGTTCTGTCCCAGCCTTCACCTTAGCTCTCATGCGTTGAATGGGCGCTGTTCTCGATTTTGCGTGTCCTTATCGGGAGGTCCGGAATAAGTCCGGCACGGTGACAGATCATGGCGCGCTCCAGAAGCATGCTCAGACTCTTGCCTTCCGCAGCAGGTTTGTTAGCAAAGGTACAGCAGTTGGAGCTCTGTTGAGCGGTACTTGCGTGTGCACGAGACTCATGCACCGCTCAATGGACAGGGAGGAGCCCCGGCTCTCAGATGGTTCGGATTCTGATGCTGGTCAAGGAGAGCAGCCACTCCTCCACGTCTCGCAGTTTGCCGAAGGGAGTGTGGGACGCCATGTACGTCTTTTCTTTCCAGGTTTGGTGGTCGCCTGTGGACTGATTGCAGCTGCATGCTGGTTCTTCCCACATCAGCCAATGCTACGAGGCAGCGGTGAGAGCACCGTGCAGCTCAGCCAGCTCGGTACACTACTGTTCGAGCCGGTGGACGGCGGTGTCTCGAGAGCATGCCGCGGAGCCAGTGCCACCGACAACTCGCCCTTGAACTTCCAGCTGAGCTCGGCCTCAGATTTGACCTTCTGCCAATGGCAATGTATCAAGATGGATACATGCCAAGGTGTGGAGTACCATCCTTCCAACTGGCGCTGTGAACTTTGGACCAGGCCGGCTGGTATTCAAGCATCAGCATATTTTCAGACTGCCGATTGCTACCGCCGTGTGGCCAAACTGGAGCCGGTGGATGGTGGTGATGACAGGGCTTGCAGAGGGGCGAACCCCGACGACAACAACCCGGCCCACTATGTTGTCCACCCCCATTCTGTACTGGATGACTGCGAGCGGCAATGCATTGCAACTCCTGAGTGCAGGGGTATTGAGTACTCCTTTGGAAGATGCGAGGTTTGGGTCCGGGGTGAGGGTATTCAATCATCGCTGGCGCTTCCAGGCTTTAAATGCTTTCGAGTCGCACAGCTGGCGACAAGTGCTACGGCAACGACGACAGCCACGGCAACAGCGACAAGCCAGACGGTCACTGCCACGTCTACTGCATCGACGACCGTGAGCTCTCTCGATGCACCGCCGGTCGACGACCCACAGCCTTTGGAGTTAGTCTTTCGGGCAGTGGACGGTGGAGTGAATCGTGCCTGTCGTGGAGCTGATGCCAATGATAATTCCCAAAGCTACTTCCAGGTCTTCACAGTCACAGGTTTGGAGGACCGCTGTCGTTGGGCCCCAGGGTTAACGGTGTAAAGCTGCTCTGGTCTCTTGCTTGCACCTGGTTGAAGGGTGCACCGTGCCCAATGGATACCGAAAGGCTGTAGCTGGGCATGCGTCGTTATCTGCGTGATCGCCGGGTGTCAGCCCTCCCGTTGGCAATGCCCGGCTTCCACCCGTGCGGAGTGGATCAGGAGGAGCTCGTGCTCAGATGAGGCTGAAGGAAAATCTCAGGTTGTGTGACCGTGCTTCCGTGTGTGTGTGTGTGTGTGTGTGAGTGTGAGTGGATGTTTGTGTCAGTACAGGTGGCGTAGGTGCGCATGCGTGTGGGCATTCTTATATACGTATGTGTGCGGATACGGTGCATTCATAAGTACATGCAGACGTGCCACTGGCACCGCTGCGATGCAAGTATTCGTGAGCGCAACATGGCAAATCCGTTTGACGGGACGTGGGGCACTGTTGGGAACCACATCAGCAAGTGACTCGGTACCATGTCTGGTCTATGCTTATATCAAAAGCTGATCCTTTCCCCTGCTGCCCCGACCAGGACTGCAAGAACCGTTGCCGGGAGACGACGGGCTGCGTGGGTATCGAGTTCATCAACACCCGCTGTGAGGTCTGGACCCGACGTGCGGGCATCGAAGCGTCCTTCGAGCTGGCCGACTACCAATGTCTGCAGGCCGTAGCCGCCGTAGCCGTGTCCTGATGATGCCATGAGTAAGAACTAAGAGCATCACAGTCGAGCAAAGTGCAGCCCCAGGCGGTAGCTTTTCATCCGGTGGACGGCGGAAGCGATCGGGCCTGCCGTGGTGCCAGCGTCACGGACAATTCGCCCGATTACTATGCGCCTGCGCAAGCAATGACATGCAGTGTGAGTCGTGTTAGGACGGTTTGGACTTGAGGCACCCGCAAGCTGCAGGTAGTCTTCCCCGAGACCTCGCTGGCAGACTGCAAAGACCGATGTGCGCAGACGGAGGCCAGCACTGACGGACACCCGCAGGGTTGCATCCTTCGCCTAAGGCAGCGTACTTCAGACCACACCACATCTGAGCGGGGGATCGCTAAGACAGAGAACTTGCCAACGATGTTGTGTGCCTACATGAGTGCACTCGACAAGAAAGGCGTGCATTGGGATGGAGTACTCTGATGGCCGCTGCGAGGTGTGGACCAGGCGCTGATCTCAGCACAAAGCCTGATGTCAAAGCCTGCTGCCGGCTTTGCCGGCTGAGCCTAAACCTCTAAACCCTAAACCCCAAAACCCCTTGAACCCCCAAACCCCTAAAAACTAAACCTCAAGCCCCCTGAAAACCCCCTTAAACCCGCTGAAACCCGCTTTTGTCAGGTCCGGAGGCATCTTGGCCTCGGCCGCCGTGGTCGGCTTCCAGTGCTTCCAGCTCAGCAGCCCCACGAGGCCGCTCGATTCTTATTTTTGCCTTTTTGTTAGTGTTAGTGTTACTGGTTATATTCATATTCTTATTGTTTAATTATTCTTGTTATTCTGATTGCCTTTTTGTTAGTGTTACCAGTAATATTCGTACTCTTGTTGTTTAAGTATTCTTCTTGCTATTCTGATGGCTATCACTGTTGTTATCAATTATTGTTTTTATTACTATTGTTTCTTGTAGTATCATTTCGAGTTCTCTTCTCACCGTGGCACCGCTGCGACTTCGAGTGCCTCCTTCGAGCTGAGGCAAGAGCTCTTGGCGGAAGTTGCTGCCTCCACTTGGGATGCTTTGCTGCCATTCCTTCGTAGTCGTTTGAGATGCCCCGAGGGAGCCACGGAAACGTTTGTATCCGGAATGCATCTGAGGAAGTGGTGGGCGGCGGAGTTGATCGGGAGTGCCGCGGCGCAGACTGGGACGACGACTCCCCTGGCTACTTCTCCGTCGCACACGCGAGCTCTCTTGCTCGATGCCAGGAGACTTCGTCCTGTAAGATTTACGCCAGGGGTATTGGGCTTGCATGGGGGCAGTACGCGTAGCGGATAATGTATCACGGTGCGCAGCTTACTGCAAGATTGAGCTCCTGGAACCCTAAACCCTAAAACCTAAAAGGAACTCCAGAAAGTTGGACTATGGAATAATGGACGGATCCCCTATAATTTACCTTAAAGGGAGTATGATAATGATATTCCAACTTTCTGGCTTCCACTGTATAGCCCTATGATTCTCCGCAAGGAGCGCTGCCTTGAGCTGACGATCTGCAGGGGCGTCGAGTACCGGATCGGCCACTGTGAGCTCTGGACGCGGCCCGAGGGTATCGGCGCAACAGCACAGAGGAGGGTTAGGGTTCAGGGTTTAGGGTTTAGGGTTTAGGGGACTTACCTTTGGTTAGTAGGGAATGGAGGAATGGGGTGCAATTATGAATACTATAACTACTATTCTTCCATTTCCTACTAATGAAAGGTAAGGGGAGAGAGGGCTCAGGGCTCTTGCTTCTGTGCCTTCAGTCACAGGGACCCTTGGGGGGGCAGGGGGGAGGGGGGTAGGGGACTATACTTCCTTAAGTAGGCCTTTTTAGGATTCAGTGAATGCAGCTTCCTGCGCGTTTCAGGAGCAGCTCGGTTTGCCTGCGTAGGCCAAGCGACACTTCTGCTCCTTCGTCCGGCGGTGGAGCCCCGCGTACCAAGTACGTCGTACATTACATGCCGTGGTTTCTAGGCATCAGGACTCCGGGCTTGTATGACCATTGGTGTGTCGGAAACTCGTTCTACGAGAGCTACCTGGGGCTTTATGATCAGAACCAGCGCGAGGTGGTTGGGCAGCAGCTGGACCTGATGAAGTCGAGTGGCATCGACGGCTTGTGGATCGATTACCAGCTCACGTCCTGGGACAGTGTGGTCGACATGATTGTTGATGAGCTCGAGGCACGTGGGATGGGCGTAGCCATTGTCGTGGACAATGCCGTGAACAATAACATCTTCATCGAGGCGCAGGCAAAGCTGGTCCAGTGGGTGGGCCGCTCCCACTACTACCGGCACAATGGCATCCCTGTGATCCCTGTGTTCAACGATGTGGAGATCAACTTTCAGGCGCTGCCCTTTGAGGCGTACTACATGACCAGGAGGGAGGTTCCCCTTCCTGACTGGGCCAATGGCACATACCCTTGGATTACTGCAGACCTTAAGTGGCTGGAGGAGCATTACAAGAAAGATCACAGTCTCTCCTCCTTCGCGATTGGGGCAGCCTACCGAGGCTTTCGTGACTGCTACAGCAATCGAGTGCTGCACGTTCCCTTCTTGCAGATGCTGGAGCCTTCTCTCCTCGTGACCAGCAAGTATCAGCCTGAGTTTGTCCAGGTTCTCACATGGAATGATTACAGTGAGGGAACCATGATCGAACCCAGCTGGCTCCGAACTCACGGATCCTGCCATGAGCCCTGCAACAACGCGTACTCCTTCTGCCCGACGAGCTTCGACTGCTTCTCAGGCCTCGAGACGCGGGATTGTGACAAGCCTTATGGCTCTGAGTTCGGCCCAGCGGATCCTGCGTGCAGTTCCCCCTACAACAAGAGCGCCTACTCGGAGCTGGACACGTTGAAGCAACACATCAATTTGGAGCGGTCAGGGCTCCTCAATTCCATCTTTCACACCGGCCTGTTCACGCCCAGTGCCAGCGCAAAGGGGCCAGGCTGGTACTCAAGGGGCCATCAATCTGAACAGAAGAACCTGCCGAAGCCGGAATTCGTCATGAAATGATGACCAACAAAGGCCAACTCGCTGTGCTTCACAAGGGAGCCATTCTGGCAAATTACTTGTCGGGTTTGAAAATTAGTGGCTTGCGCTGTCATGCCTTAAAGGCAAGCAAGTAGGCGAGCCAATTTTTGGAATGAGTTCTTGGCAATCTTGCTGACCAGGGCTGGATTGTACCGAGATTCCAACATACAGCTAGTTCTAGATTCTAGTCTGTGACCGCAGTTTTGAGGCTTGAGTCCTTCCAACGTCTAATGGCGATGGATGGCTCAGGCTTTCTCCTAGGGTAGGGTTTGAAAGATTTCTCGCCACTACAGAGGCAAACCCGAGCACGAGGCTTGATCTTGAATCGAAAAAGTTTCCGAACATAGGGGACCCAAATCTAGTACCCTAAAAAATAGTAGGATAGAGTAAGGACCCCCAAAATGAGGTACCAAGGTACCCCTCAATTTTGGGGAAATTCCCATATGGCGCGAGCTCACAACTACAGCAGCCCCCCCTGCTATCTCCGGCTGGGGTCTCTGTCGGCATGACGGTTTAGGGTTTAGGGTTTAGGGTTTAGGGGTTTAGGGTTTAGGGTTTAGGGTTTAGGGTTTAGGGGTTTAGGGTTTAGGGTTTAGGGTTTAGGGTTTAGGGTTTAGGGTTTAGGGTTTAGGGTTTAGGGTTGGGGGTTAGGGGTTAGGGTTTAGGGTTTAGGGTTTAGGGTTTAGGGTTTAGGGTTTAGGGTTTAGGGTTTAGGGTTTAGGGTTTAGGGTTTAGGGTTTAGGGTTTAGGGTTTAGGGTTTGGGGTTTGGGGTTTAGGGTTTAGGGTTTACGGTTTAGGGGTTTAGGGTTTAGGGTTTAGGGTTTAGGGTTTAGGGTTTAGGGTTTACGGTTTAGGGGTTTAGGGTTTAGGGTTTAGGGTTTAGGGTTTAGGGTTAGGGACTCCTTGTAAGCTAACACCAACTCGAGCCCTCCAGAAGAAGTTCCGAACAGGTGCAATTCTTCGGACCGCCTGGCGTCGTGGACGGCCTCGTGATCCTCCAGGAGATGCGTCACGGAAGTTAAATGTTCAATTTTCGAGACTCGCGCGAAGAGGGGTGTTCAAAAAGGCTCTAGTCTAAAACTCATTGAGCTTACGGATCAAAGAAGGCTTTGAGGTTTGAGGGTCGAGTACTCAGGTTTGAGCTTGTGGGGAAAACTTCGTGACAAAAGACCCCTGGTAGCTACGATCGTGGGAACTTCAAGCCTTCCAGCGGAGATGCTCCCGCGGCTGATGTGACATTGAAAAAGGCGACCTCGTGAAAACGAGTACATGGCAGTTGTGTAGAGTGGTGGTGCATATGTAACAAAGGTAAAGATTGCTTTTGGGTCGGTCAGTCCTCCTAAACCTGCAAGCCCATGCGCACTAATCTCAAGGAGCAAAGCGGCAAGCCTGCCAGGTTTGGTTTACATGCTTTCTGCAGTTCATCGCTTGGCTTAGCTGTTTCAGATCTGGACTTCGGTTCTAGGTTTAAGAGAACGCCAAGGTGGGGATTGTGTGTCCTCGGTATGCTAGGAAATACATTAACCCCACGTGACTTACTTTTTTAAGGACTTATATACAGAAATCATATTAGGGAACCCCCAAAAGGTAGGTTCCTTAGGGTCCAGGTAGACAACACTCTGCTCTCAGTTCGCTGAGTTGATGGTCCTGATCTTGACAAGTCAATCGTCCTCACTCCTTTGGGGAAGCCCTCCAGACACCCCAACCCTCAGCCCCTCATATAGGGGCCTACATAATTGCCAACACTGTTTTGGGGGTTCCTTACTATAACTATAATACAGTGGGCCCCCAAACCCTGCTCTAAATATTAAGGCCCCTGTATCATAGACCCCTCTTATAGATCCCGTATAGGCCCTTTAAAGGAACCCTATTCTCATCATTAAGGCCCTTCTAGTCCAAAAGCGGACATCACCAACACCCGGAAGGAAGACTTCGAGAGCTTCACGCTAAGGTTCGCAGAGGGGGGCCTGGGATTTTCTGAGCGGTTCAGGGTTCGAAAAGATTAGGATTTGCAGGATGGTTTAAGCATGGGTTTCAGGGAGAATTTAGGGTGTAAACTTCGTAGAATGGTGGGATTCGGAAGGGTGTCTCCGGTGCTTTTGTTGTCTTGGCTAAACTTGTCGAAGCATGGGCATTGCAGAAGGTGCCAATAAGCTTGTCCGTGGTGTTACTGAGCTTGCAATATGGGTCTGAATAACTAGTCTACAAACTGCGAAATCCCAAGCAAGCTGCTGAGCACCCAAAGGCTTGCGAATTGCCCTCCGCCATTTGCACTGGCCTTAAACCCTGAACCCCAAACCAGCAAAACACCCAGCTACTTTCCTTAGAGCCTAATCCCTACATCCTGTGGCGCAGTCCTGAAAACCGCTCATGTCACCGAAACCCGCGAAGCTTTTCGCAGGTGGCTTAGCACGTCAAGCTTGCACATTGGGACATGGGTTGAGGGTTGCGGGTCTTGAGTACCGGGGGTTCTGCAAGCGGTGGGGGCTTTACCTCTGGGGTCTTCCTAGGTTTAGAGCATGGTCATTGGTCTGGGGTTGCACGGATGTTACGTAGTGCCGCTTGCTGATTCTTCTGAACCCGTTGCAATTGAATTATTGGACAGCAGTGTTTTGAAGCAGGTATGTTGTTCAGGGGGTGTCGGGTCTGTCCATACCTCGCATGCAAGGTGGAACTATCCAAGCGACGACGGCGGTGGCGCAGTGTCTTGACAAATCATTCTCGAAGGGTTTCCGAATTCCTGAACCTGGGATTATGTAGTGTCCTTTGTTTACTAGCCGGGTGCAGCGTGCTTGTACACACAGCGAGGATATGTCAGCAAGACGAAGGAATGAGGCACCAAGCTCGCCTCAAGGTTTATGAGCAGATTGAGGGTTTCTGGTAAGAAGGGTTTAAGGGATTGTGTGTCACTCCTGCGAACTTATACCTCTCCGGAAGCTCAAGGTTTCGACTCCTACGTGAGCCATCGCGAGGAGTAGAGGCACCAGTCGGACGGGGCCGCAGCTGCTTCTGTCCAAATTTGAACTCCGCACAGCCGTTCGAAGTCTTCCAAACCGAAGCGCGAAGCCCACAGCCTTCGACCCTGGACCCAGATCCCTACAGCCGACAATCCACACTCCCAATCTACCGAGACTCCCAAAGCAGGCAACCTCCATGAGACACAAAAAAACCCAGCAGAACTTGACCTTTAGACCTCGACCCGGGCCCTGAATCTTAACCCCCCAAGCCTAGAAAACCCCTGAACCTTCAATCCTGAGCCACGTTATCCCTGTGTGCCATGGAGCCTGAGCGACCCGCGCCCGCTGCGGCCAACGATGGAGATTTGGAGCGGTCTCCTGGCTGAAGAGCGATACCTTCGCCTTAAATCTGATGATTTCGTGATGTCTTCGTGGATCCATAATCTAAGGGCCCCCGATTCGTTAAGGCGCTCCGAAAGCCCAAACTCGACACCCTCCCAGCCCAATCCTAAAACCTGAAACCCGAAGCCCAAACCTCCCTCAAACGTGGTTCTGAGGAACTGTTGGCCACACTTTCACACAGTAGCAGCGCTGAGCCATAGTGCAGCTGCCGAGTATGCTCAAACATCATGCGTAGGCTTGTCCAGCTTTGTTGGTGCTGGTTGCACAGACCAGACACACACCTGATGCCACCAATGAATGCCAAGCGCCGCTGACCCATCTTGAATGTGTTCAACACTTTCCCATATCTGGCATCCCAAAGCCACAGTTGGTTGCTCCCATGACCGTGTCCGAAGCAAGAGTTACCTTCGCAAGCTCTCAAAGCCCCTAACCCCGACACCCCAAGCCCTAAACCCCAAACCCTAAACCGTTCAACCCCCGCAGCAAGAATCTCCGTCGGCTGCCCCCCCCCCCCCCGAAGGGCGCTGCAGAGCTTGGAGTTGGGTCACCTGCTTCCGCACTTCCATGCGCCTTTGGGCGTCCACCGACTCGCGGAGGCGAGGTTTTAATATAGGTGCCTTAATCATTAGAATTATAGTAGGGATCAAAAGCAAATAATGTGGTTTCCCTGTGGTTTCCTTATGAACTTAAATGAACTCCTTCAACAAGAACCCAGATTCAGGCACAGCCAGGCTGGGCTCCTATTGCTGCTTCGGACTTTGGCATCCCCCGCTTCCTTCACCCCAGACTTCCTAAAGTCTTGCCTGAACACTTACCATGTTTAAGCCCTAAACCCTAAAACCTAAACCCTTGACGGCTACCTAGGCGGAAAAAGGAGTTCAAAAAAAAAACCCCTAAACCCCACAACTTAAAACTTAAACCCATGTAACTCTTTCCACCCTAAACCCAAAGCCCTCTGCTCCCGAGCTTCCCACTGCAAAAAACACGAACTTCGAACCCTAAGCCAAGGGAAGAGGATACTTGATCGTAAATCACATTGAGACACCCTCAGAAGGGATGATGTTGGGGGACATCCTAAACCCCCCTCCTACCCTTTAATTTACCACAAATAACCCGCCATTCAGGGCCACAAGGACTCAACTGCCCTTGAAAGGCCTGGTTCTTCCTCGTTTACTCAGGGCTTTTGCCAACACCCTCACAAACCCTCCAAGACCCTCAACAAAACTCGAAAGCCCTAAACCCTAAACCCTAAACCACTAAACCCTAAACCCTAAACCCTAAACCCCTAAACCCTAAACCCCTAAACCCTAAACCCTAAACCCTAAACCCCTAAACCCCTAAACCCCTAAACCCCTAAACCCCTAAACCCTAAAACCCTAAACCCTAAACCCCAAACCCTAAACCCTAAACCCCTAAACCCCCCACAAACACCGGTTTTCTTGGGAGGTCGGCGAGCTGGAGATCGAAGACCTCACCGAGATCGGCCTCACGCGGCCTCCCGGCGCCGTGATCGAAGGAACAGGGCCCTTTTTGGGGGCTTCGGGTTTAGGGTTTAGGGGGTTTAGAGGGTTTAGAGGGTTTAGAGGGTTTAGAGGGTTTAGAGGGTTTAGAGGGTTTAGGGT